GCGCCCGTGCTCGTTCAGCCATTCCCAGACGACCACGGCCGAGGCTAACAACATCTCATACCTACACGAAGAAAAATAAAATCACGTCCACAATAATGACATCTGATAGTGTCTAGACTCAGTTAATTATTTTGCAACGACTAATTCCCGTGCACGGCACAGGTGCGTTTATAAGCAAGCGATGCATTTGACCACAAAGGGAATGTTATGCAGCACGCTGTGGCAAGCCGTGTTAACATTTATCCCTCCCTCTATACTAACTAGTATCTATTGTATGTTTCTGCTGCATGTTTTTTATTAGTAAACTAAAAATGACTAGTACATCTGTAATTTTCAGTAATAACATGCATACTACTTACTCCTTTGCTACTCGTTAATAGTACCTAATACTAGTATAACTGCCTACTCCAGTTTTACTAGACATTGGTACCTACTTAAGAGACACTCGTATCTATCTCAACTGTTAATAGAAATATATATTCCACCCCTCTAGTCACAATTGCTTTTTACTGGTCATATGTAACGACTAACCATTTAATCTTACTAATAAGTTTAAAATGTTACAAGTATCAGTTGGAATACACTAATTTGGTGTCTAATAAGTAGGTGTTCGTGTCTATTTAACAGACACAAGAAAACCCCTAACAGGTCCTAGCAACAACTGGAATAAGAACTAATTAGTGAATAGAAAGTCATATCTGAACCACAGATACCTGTAGAATTCAACAGCAAAAATATGCAATTTTCTATGAGTAAGCACGACTTTTCCCTTTTGGGATATAAACCAACAACAAAGGAAGTACTAGTAATATTTAAAAGAAACAGTTACGGTTAAATAGCTACTTACTAGTAATAAAAATTAAGAATTAGTAATAAAATCAACAGACAATAAATGTTAACACAGCTTGCCACAGAATGTTGTTACACGCAAGACATTTTAGGAACGCATTTTCTTCCACTGCATCCTTAAAAATGTCCATGCTTCGATACAGAAATCGGCTGGGTGGATCTTTAAATCTTTTCGCCATCATTAGTATTCAATCTCTTTAAATATAAAATGGTTGTGATGGTGGCTCAGTTACTTGTTTTATCTGTCAATTCTAATATGCTCACAACCCATATTTTCTAACTGAACGTGCGAGATGCAAGCACACTGCAAAGCAAAAGGCCCGTTTTCTCCAAAATGCGACGAATTAAGACATGCAAGCACTCACCAATAAGAGATCGTTCGTGTTTACTCGTTTGCATTCAAATCGTTGAAGGAGGTGGTAATTGCTTGGGCGAATCCATCTTAACTTGAGCAAAAAGTATATAACAATAGACCCAGGTTTTTTTTTTTCTCAGAGGAAAATGCTAATCGAATTATTACATTATTTTCCTTTTAAATACACAGTCGAGGCAACACGCAGTTCAGGATATCTTAAACGACATGACTCGTTTTATCTACTGCTATGTGAAGACATTTAAATCTTATTCTTATTCTAGTAAGGAATGTGCAGGATTCTTCGATTGCGTCTGTGGCCACGCCCACTGGGGGCTAAACTAACCAATGGCGTGGCGATTTCGACGCCCACTGGCGTTTAACCGACCAATGGTCTGCGCAGGAGTGCAACTTCTGACTCAAGTATCTCCTCCCAAAATCTTCACAAACGTACGCGCAATCGATGGTTTTCTACAGATATAAAATCTATAAATTCAGCGATTGCCATCGCATAGTATGAAATCAAAGTGATTTTTGTATTAGTGTTCTGTGTTTCAAGTGCCATCTATTGTCTTCGTGAAAGAAAAGGTAAGTGGAGATGCCGGGGATTGAACCCGGGACCTCATACATGCGAAGCATGCGCTCTACCACTGAGCTACATCCCCTCGCTGTGCAGAGTGCTGAAATCAAGTCTATAGTTATGAACAGTGTTGGGGGTAACTTATTACAAGTAACGCGAGTTACGTAATCAGATTACTTTTGTCAAGTAACGCATTACTTTTTTAATTTACAAGAAAATATCTGAGTTACTTTTTCAAAAAAGTAATGCCAGTTACTTTGTTTTCCCATTTATTGACCGACAGCTCTCCTGTTCCCATATTGGGAGACATCGGAAGTGCAGAGGAGTTGTGTGCGCTGTGTGAACATGATGTTACTGTAGTTCTAGACTAAATGTGAATGTGCATTAACTCATCCCACTCACAAAAAAACAGATGTAGTATTCATCAAAATGAATTAAAACTGTGAAATGCAAACTCAGAATATGACGCAAACCTGCAATAATTAAATATGTTAAACAACACAAATGTATCTAATCCCATTTTATTAACCAATATCTTTGCTGCTGACCTTTGCTGATCCAGTTCAACCATACTAATAAGCAAGAATGACTTTAGAGAAACTAACAATTGTGCTTTGTTTTTTTATTGCTGAAGAGTGTTTCTTCTCCTGCGTTCTACTGTACAGACGTGAATTTACTTTTCCTTCAGCCTGATGTTTATTCATTACACTTTTTGGTGTGAAAGGGCTTTTATATTTGCTATAAATAGAACTTCTTATGTTAAAAACAATCAAGTAACGCGAAAGTAACGCAAAAGTAATATAACGCATTACTTTCCATAAAAAGTAACGTGATTCGTTACTTTTTTAGGGAGTAATGCAATATTGTAATGCATTACTTTTAAAAGTAACTTTCCCCAACACTGGTTATGAAATGTGAAATGACCTATGCATCATGTTAATTTAATTACTTAAGCAATATCCCCAGGACTGTGGGTCTGTGATTGTACTTTAGACTTTAAAATGGCATAATTTAGTATCATCTGTATTTATTTATGACTTTAAAAACCTTTAAAAAAAACATTGTCTTAGTTAGCAAATATGCATCATCATCATAATCTTGGCCTAAGCCATGAAACCCTGTTGATAACCAACTATGATAAGAGATGTGGTTCATGGTGTGTAGCCTCAAAATGGTTGGTGGTTCGATGCCCTAATGTTACATCAGGGCAAATGTTACGTCCAGGTCACATTTGTGACCTTGGCTTAATTTTCTTTAAACAAAATATTATTTCTCATGATTTGATATGCTCTACACATGTTCTTGATGGGTTTTGTGAGACTGACCATCAGTGAGGCCATATGAAAACACTAGACAATTTTGACAGCCACTTTGACATGAAAATATTTTTCAATGGAAAAATATTTACGCCTCTTAAAAATGTTAACAAGTTTCAAAATGTATTTTCACACAGTCAGCATTTGCAGAAAAAAAACCCAACAGGAAGTGCATAAAACTAACAACTTACGGAAAATGGTGTGGAACCGTTTTACTGACTTTTAAAGTTAATCCTATAAAGCCTACTGTTTCATATTTTATACACAACTTTCTAAGGCTTCAAAAGTATCAACATGATCCAATTTTTTTTTCCTGAAAAACAATGTTGTGTACAATCTACTACAGGCCTTCTGTTGTCCAACTGAGAGTTTATAATTTTTTTAGCAAGTAAATGTCCTTTAGTATAATTGTATAAAAACATCCCCCTTCAGACTGTGGTAAACGTGCCTTTTTGCTTCGAAATCCTTACTGATATTTATAATGTAAATGTAATAATAATTAGCATCGTTAGTAATATTTCAAATATGATAGGAACATTTATTTATCCATCTCTCAATCATCATTGTATTGCATTGCATTATATGTTTTGCCCCCAAAATAGAAAACTACAGAGCTTGGAACATAAAACTAAGCATTTAAATACTATCTTACTATGACATATTATTGGAAGTTTTAGAGTAAAAACAGATGTTTACATGCATTTTATGTGAGTAGTCTAATATATTCTTATGAACATATCATTGATTTTCAGCCCAAACACATATGAAAACCTCTTTTAACATTTGTTTTAATGGTATGTCAATGACAATCAGTGTTGGGAAGGTTACTTTGGAAATGTAATAGGTTACAGATTACAAGTTACCCTACTTAAAATGTAATAAGTAGTGTAACTTTTCAATTACTTTATTAAAGTAATGTAACTGATTACGTTTGATTACTTTTCTACATTTTTAATGTTTTCAACTGTTTATCATTTTTAAACATGTAAACCAGGCAGGGTAAACTTTACAGTAGTACTCAACACTGATTACTGTCACACTTTCGAAATCCTTCATCACTTGAATTAAGATTGTATTTCAATTTTAAAGTAGACATTGGATGCAAAATTCACTTTTACATGGTGTTTGCATATAAATGTATCTTAGCAGTGTGTGGACACAACCACCCTACAATGATAAAAATCCATTCACTTCTTTTTTTTTTTTTTAATCCCCCAAAATCCTAAACAGTCTCAGAAAGGGTGTTGTTTTACACGACCACAGGAATTTTAACCGAAGTATGTTGCAGACCATTCATGAAGACCCTAAAGAATCATATCAACTTGTCCCCTTTGAATCAATGTCCCCTTTGAAGCACCGCCACCACAAAATCAGACTTACTTTGAGATCATTATGAGGTTAAATACATATTTAAAATCATAACAAGAAATATTTTATTAGCTATGATACTGTTTTTGAAATCAAATCTATACATAGCTATGACAGTAAACACTGGAATCTAACAATGCCTTGGAAAAAAACAGTTAATCTTTCAAAAATGAAGCATAGCTATACATAAACCCATATAGGAAATAAAAGAGTTATCGAATAAGCATGTTCTAAACTTCTGAAACATTGGTGTTTCATATTTTAGAGCAGTCACTGCAATTTATGAAATAAATCAATTAAATCTGTATGTGGGAGTGTGTGTGAAAAAAAGCAGATGTAACCCCCTTTGTAATCCTTAACATTTTCATAAGTAACTGTAATTTAATTACACATTTTTTCTCAGTAACTGTAACTGATTACAATTACTTTTATTTTGTAATTAAATTACGTAATTCCGTTACATGTAACTAGTTACTCCCCAACACTGATGACAATAAACTGTTAGTTAAAAGAAAAAACAGATTTTTCAGGCTTTACAGGGTTAAACGGACTCAAAGTTATAAAAAATGTTTCGTGCCACCCACTGGGCCAAGCCACTTTATTTCCCACTTATAAAAATTCAAAAACAATGTCTCTGAGCTTTTCATAAAGCAGTCAAGTCATTTCCATCTTTGTTTTCCTTAGACCAAATTGCACTACCAGTAAACGGCGTCAGATCTACAATCAATTCTAATTTCTCTTCATTCTTCACTTCTTGACTTTTATCCTCTTCTCCTGCTGCTGCCTCCTCCTTCTGTTTCTCCTTCTCTTCTTTCTCTTCCATCTGCATCTTTGCCCTCTCCCTCAGGTCAACGCTGGAATAGTCATCTGAAGAATCATCCCTGTCGTCATCATGCTCCTGTTGTCCCCCCTCCTCCGTGTAACTGTCATTCTGTTTGTCACGACCTTCACCCTCCTCGTCCTCTTTGTCATTATCTCCTATGTTCTCCTCGTCATCATGCCGCTGAGGCCAAATGCGGACACCAAGTCTGTTTTCCACAACCCCGACTCCTTGTCTCAATCGATCCCATAGGCCGCCAGGGGCCAAGACTATGCGCTGGACGGTGTACTGTCCATTTGTGTCTGCGTTAAGTTTTTTATAAAAGTACAGCAGAGTGTAACTGTCATTCTGTTTGTCACGACCTTCACCCTCCTCGTCCTCTTTGTCATTATCTCCTATGTTCTCCTCGTCATCATGCCGCTGAGGCCAAATGCGGACACCAAGTCTGTTTTCCACAACCCCGACTCCTTGTCTCAATCGATCCCGTAGGCCGCCAGGGGCCAAGACTATGCGCTGGACGGTGTACTGTCCATTTGTGTCTGCATTAAGTTTTTTATAAAAGTACAGCAGAGCCAGAACAAGTATGATCCAAATGAAGAGGAGGGCAAGGACAGTTGCGGTGTTGTCCTTATTCATATTTTGCTTCATGATGACTAAAGAGAGTGCAATGAGAAACACACAGGGACTTATTAATGCAATAATTGAATTAAGTGACACATTCCAAATGATACATTTAATAAAATGATAAAACAATTTTAGAAATCCAAATAATACTTTTATTCAAATTATACTTGATTTTGATTACAATATACAAGTAAAAACAACATTTCTGGACACAGTACACTGTAAAAAAAATATTTTTTATGAACATGTAAATAAAGATTATTGGAATAATTTAGGAAGAAAATACAATTTCAGTCTTTCTATTTCAAAATTTCAAATTTAATATGTTACTTGCATTTCTTTGTAATTATTTGTGAATTTACTAGCAATTTCTGAGTGAAAATATGTCTACACCAATGTTTTTCAGTGTACATGAATACATAGCAATACACAATGTCTTCATCAATGTTATTTTTTTTTAATATTAAGTTTTTAATTTTGTATTTTCCATTTTCATTTTAAGTTTTAGTAATGTTTGTGTGTTTTTGTCAGTTTAATTAGTTACTGATTTTTTGTTCAAATATGTCTATATAGTTTTTAATTCATTTTTATTTCAGTTTTAGTTTGAATTATTTTAGTACATCACTAAATGAAAATGAGAAATGTGTTTTATTGAACATTTGAAATATGTTATTTTATTTTAATTGACATTTATTTTATTTCAAGTAACATTTTTTTTATGTTTGTAGTTTTAGTTTAGTTAAGGTGGTACCCATTTACAAGGTACTAATATGTATACTATACCACATACTTTTATTACTTTATTTTATTTATTTAGTCATTTATCAGACGCTTTTATCCAAAGCGACTTACAAATGAGGACAACAGAAGCAATCAATTGTAACAACTAAAAACAGATCCAAAACTAAAAGCTAAAACTTTATAAATACTACCTATACACATTTTAAAAATAAAGAGATTAAATAAAAATGACAAATGCATACAACAAAATTTCAAAACTTAACATATAAATGAAAAACAAAAAATAAAGCTAAAAACAATTCAAAATATTAAAGAACAAAAGGTATAAGAGTATAATAATGATTCTAACATAACACTAAGCCAAACACCAAAAAAAAACCAACTACATATGTGTATGTACAACCACACACACATACATATATACATACACATTTATAAATTCAATATATATATTATTTCATTTCCATTTAGTTTGTTGAAGTATTAAAATAACTCAAATTAAATAAAACTAAAACTTAATAAAAGGCCGATACAGACATAATAAATGTAGACATAATTTAACTAAAATTAAAATAAATAACAAATACAAATAAGAGAGAGAGAGAGAGATACCGCACGCAATTAAGAACATGATGACAACTTTGATTTTGATGTAAAATATAAATTCTAAACCCTTTCTCAATATTTATTTATTATGTCATAATTTTTAAATGTATTTAATGGATATTCAAATTTAAAGCAGTTTAGTGGGTAATGTTGAGGTAAATGTAATAAAGAAATATGCATAAGAATTCAAAAAATAATACATTTGGCTCGAATTTTAGAACGATCATCTGATCTTGAAACTTGGAATTGACTATATGCGCACATTTTATAGTCAAACCAATATTTCAAAAGAGAGCATGTGCAAAATATCTTATATATAGAGTCCGCACAGGAAGAGTTGAGTGGAACATAGTTTCCTTTTGCTAGAGATTGTGTGATGAAGCGCAAGTCTCTCTTAGACCACATCCTGTTGTAAATGCTGAGTTTAAAGATGCTATGAACCATGAAAACAAGAATGCTTCACTGCTTGTGCAGTGCAGAGATACAGTACACAATGCAACGATATGATATCTGTGTTTGTTACACAACACCACAAAAGTTGCAATTATATCGTGACATATTGTTTTTTTTAAATACCATTTGAACGTTTTCGACTCAAGTTACAAGTTATATGTGAGAAGGGCCACAGAGTCGAGATGCAGGCAAAATTTGGTTCAAGAAAAAATATTTTTCTCAATCATAGCAGGTCAAGTATCCCTAAATCAGTTTTTAACATCACTGCACATGCCATTTTAGTTGTAGAAATTTAGTTTAGCCTTGATTAACCTGAACTACTTCTTAGTTTCCAGATTAGCCAGGAAATGTGCACACTTACAGTAGAAATCGCTGTCTAGCACTTAGCTAGTACACCTGCGTGTCTAAAATTAGCACTAAACATTTGTTTTGACCTCATCCACAGGCCTGATGCTTGTAACGTGATGAATAATAAAAGCGAATGATATACAGTAGAAATGGGTGAATGTCATTTATTAAAAAGAACAGATTAAGTCAGCACTTAAGTTTTAAGTAAATGGATACTTAGATAATTTACAACATATACAACTGATAAAGCTAGACTTAAAATCATTCACAGAGGAGGATGAGTCGACCCTCGGTTTGAGTCATCCCTGATTGTAGTGCCCTTGATTAAGACTAACAAATACAAAAACAACACCATCTAAGCCTATCAACATCACATCATTCTACTATTATTTTTCAGATTCAATCAAACAGGAATGAAGCACAATTATTCATCGAGGTACAGGATGAATCTCAACAAACCTGTCAAGAACATGTCCAGGCCACCCCAAATCCAAGGAAAAAATATGAAAATGTTATATGTTGTTATATTATATAATAAAAGAATAATAATTCTATTTTGAAAAAAAGAAAATCAAGAGTAATTCGTTTTTTTTTAAATGACAATCATGACATTTCTATGACAATTAAGCACATTTTGCATTACCATAATGTAAAACTATTCTCATTTATATATCATAGTGGTATTTGTTTTACCTTAAATTTGGTTTAAATGTAGAAAAATTTTTTTTTTTTTACTGCAGTATGGTAAAATGATTATTGTCTTGCAGTAATGGGAATATAATAAAAAAAATCAACTAATCCTGAAAAAATATGAATTAACAAAAGATCTGAAGTAAAATTTTGATTGCAATATACAGAATTCACTTAAAACATGTCCAAATACATGTAAAAAAAAAAAAAATTATAGATTTGATTTTGGTGTGAAATGGACATCTTTTCATTCTACAAGCTCTGCACTATTATTTTCATTACCAAAACTCTTGCTCTAATGTTTTTTCGTTATATTGATAGCTCACAAATTCCTTCAACACCAAGTACAGTTTCTATCACATGCTACTCACGTATCCACATATTAAACTCTAAAAACATCCAAAAATCAATGCTACATGTGTTAAGACATACAAATGGAAGAGAGGAGCTGTTGAGGGCAGCTAAACCCAAGAACAGTGCTAGTCAATGTACTTATGTTGATAAACACCATTGAACTTTAGTGAAAAAAAAAGGAATAAATTCAGCATGTTGGATTATTACATTTCCTGAAGGTTTCAAGATTCAAACTACTTTCATTAAGTAGAAGCGTTTATAAATGCCGTTTTAATGCAGGCTACAAGAGATTATCAAGTCTGCTTTTTATTTAAAGTTTGCATGTTTATGCAAATAGTGACCCAACCAAATTTAGACTTCAAAGTCTGTAGTTAGCAGTAGTGAGTACCTGATGTAACAGCCCTATTAAAAGCACAAAATAAGCAGCATTTAGAATATTGAATTTCAGTGCATTAAAAACCAAAGTATACTGATAAAGCTCAAATCTCAATTACTTCTTTGTATCTCTATGCCACAGTAATGGAACTACATTTCCCATAACCCTTCAGTGAAGCTTTCTGAATCTGGGTAAGGCTACGTGTTGTGATATGTTTGTAGTTTCCTTCACACTTCTCCATCCTCAAAACGGGCAAGCTGCCTTTCCAGGACGTCGATCCTGTGACCCTGAGCCAGAACCAGAGCACGCAACGCCCGAATCTCCGTCAGGACATCAGAAAGTTGGTCCTCCTATGCAAGAAAGAAAACATTTGGGCTTTAATATTAGGCATAAAAATTAACATTTAGGCTTAATAACATAAACAGGCACGCGTCAGTTAAACTGCTCAAAAGTATGGAAGCCCGTTTCCACCACAAAAAAACAAACAAAAAAACGTATCTTACTTAATTAGTAGTCTTGCTTTTTCTGAACTCAGAATTACGAGATATAAACTCGCAATTCTGAAAAAAGAGATGTTAACTTGCAATTGCAAAATATAAATTTGCAATTCTGATAAGAAAATTCAGAATTGTGAGATAAAAAGTCACAATTACCTTTTTTTGTTTTGACATTCCGTGGCGGGAAAAAAAAAACAAATTGCGAGATATAAACTAAAAATTGTGAGATGTAAACTCTGAATTTTGAGAATCCTGAGTATACATCTCACAATTCTGTCTTTTTTTCCCTCAGAACCACGAGTTCATATCTCACAATGCTGTTTATATATCTCACAATTCTGACTTTTTCTCAGAATTGTGAGAAATAAAAGTCCAAACTGTGAGGTAGTCACAGTTACTTTTTTATTATTTTGTGGCAGAAATGGCCTTCCATACAAAAGTGACAGTAAAGACGGCTTTCCCATCACAGAAATAAATTGCATATATATATACATACATAACATACATACATAGTATATATATATATATATATATATATATATGTGTGTGTGGTGTGTGTATATATATATATATATATATATATATATTATAAAATGTCAACTTGTCATTCACCTCTTTCTTTACTCTCTCTATCCCTCCATCTACATCCCCTCTTCCTTCTCTGTGGCCCAACCCCTCGCTCTCCATCTCAACTGCCATAGGGTTTGGTGGCGCAGTAGTGCTGGTGGGACTAGTGTTGGTCTGAGAGAGCAGCTTGGGTCGACCCCGGAGCGTGCCACATTTGGATGGAGGGGCCGTGTAGCCCCCACTGAGGGAAACAAGGATTGGAGGAGCGTCCTGTCCTGCTATCCAATCTTCTGCCAGTAGAGCGGGTTCTAATCCCGCCGTATCCGGGTAAAGATCCCCTTGAAACAGGTCAGACTGATTGTGGGTGGAAAAAAAAAGATCCATTTAGACAGAGGATGCAGTTGGATAAATACACCTTGGCCAGTTTAGACGCCATATTGAATTTAACACAGATGAAAACGAGGCTATGAGGGACAGAATGGCACGCACTGTATAAAAGTCCTAGATCATGCCATTTTCTCAAAACCTTTAAAAACTGTTTTACAGAGTTTTGTCTGCTTAAAAGTTTTTTTTTTTTTCAAAAGATGTTTCATCAGCTGAACAATTGCTATGTTGTTAAACAACAATACAATCTATTGAACGCACTGTACTTCTGTCCCTCACAGCCTCGATTTCATTCCTGTCAAAACTTGTCAAAACCCTGACTGAGGTCTATATGCGAGTAGTTTGCTAAGGGGCAGTTGAAAAGATTTTCTTACTTCCTCTTTCACAAAGGCTCCAAAAATACAGCAGTGCGGCATTACCCCGAATACAAAAAATACCTGCAATATGCTAATTCCAGCAAATTCATGTAAGTTGCCCATTTTATTTCTGTTTTTCTTTCAGTTCACCCAAAAATGGAAAATCTGTCATAATTTTCTCATCCTCATGTCATTCCAAAGCCGTAAGACTTTTTTTCTTATGAGTAAATGATGACAGAATTTTCATTTTTGAGTGAATTATCCCTTTAAAGAGTGTGAAGTGAGGGAAGTATGACGTTTGTTTATTTTTACAAACTGAGCAAATTAATTTTCTGTGGCAATTAATTTGTGACAGCATCTGTAAATTTCCATCATGATTTTTTTACACTTTTTTTATTGTGCAGTTTTTGTCAAGGTTCAACTTTCAGTCATTTTCAAAAGCGATTTCTACTCTGAAGTATCAGGATAACTTAATAATTGAAGTAATGGAGCATCTGATGGGGAAAATGGTATAAATTTAATATTTTTCAAATATCAGCCAGCAAATTTGGGTCTGTCCAATGTTTTGTTTTGAAACATATGATGTCATTCCTCAATATGTCAACATGAGTCAATATGAGCATTTCATCACCATCTGAACATATTTTTGGAACAAACTGGAGGCAATATGGCTGATAGCTGCCTTCCAACAAGGGGAGACCCAAGCAAGAGAGCATTTACAATATGGTATTTTTCAGTGAACGTCCTGTCTCAGTCTAATCTTGCAAAGCATTTAAAACAGAAAATCAGAACCAAAGGTCTTGTAGATAATTGTTTCACAGTCTGGATATGGATCTTTGCTTGTTTGCAATGCGAGGGTAAATAAAGAACTGATGTTTTAATAAGTAAAAGCGTTTTCTTTACTCAGAAACACTATGTCTATAAAGGCTAATGCCCTCTAGTTGTAGCCAGTTTACTTTTGTACGTTTTAAATATCCTGTGCATAGAGGTCCATCTTTTATATCATGAGATTTTGGCCAAATGTATTACAGGGTTTCTGCAGGATTTTTAAGCTCAAATTTAAGACTTCTTAAGACCTGCACAAATAAAATGAATACCATGAGCGGGGTAGGGCAACGTCTATGGTAACATATTAAACTGTAAAAAGCATGATATACAGTTCAGATACAAGTTTTTACAAAAACAAAGTTTTATAAAATGATACACTTCACATTTCAGCCTTTAAACCATTTTTAATAAAATGGATGAGTCAAAAGTATTAATTATTATATTAATTTAAACAATGATTATCAATAAATTATTATATTACTTAACATATAAACACATTTTACTGTTTAGATTTTTATAATGCATTATCTTCTTATCGATCCACTAGTTGACATTTACAGCTCTGCGTGTTTGCAGGGTAAAAACATGGGTCGATTTTCACATTGGTCTGAACAAAAACAACCCCAATACTGTGTTCCTGCAATACCAGAGGCTGCAGTTTCAGGACCGCAGTTCTCTTAGGACCCTTTTTTTTCTTCAAATCAAATCAAAGTTTATTTATAGAGCACTTTTTTAAAACAACAATTGTTTTCCAAAGTGCTGTACAAGCATAATCAAAGTAAAACAATTTTACACATAACAAAAGCAACAAACAATAACAATAACCGAATACAAAAAAACTAAAAAGCTGTGCAAAACAGTTAATTGTGCTGCTGGATGTTGTAAACTAGTATTCAAATTATTTAACATTTATTTATGTACCAATAAACTCACTAATTTGTACCGCATAGGCTACATACAAAAAAAAAAAAATTATAAAAAAACAAACAATAGGGTCCTAGAAATGCGGTCCTAAAATTGTAGCCTCCATTATTGCAGGAATACCCTACTCCAATAAAACAGGCTTATTGAAAATGCACATTCATTCTCTGCCAGCAGGAGGTGCTTTTGGAACAGCAGAAATATAGCAGTTTCCCCGGTAACGTCAGAACACAAATCAGCACCGGACTTTGAAACATGCAGAGCTCACGTTTATTTAATGAAATAATAGTTTAATCGTCACATTCAGCCATATCGCAATTCTGGTCTTTCCGTCCCCAAATTTAAGAGCTCCTGAAATCATAATTAAGACTTTCTTGTACAATTTAAGACTTTTTATGGCCTTAAATTTGATACAACTAAATTTAAGACTTTTTAAGGACCCGCAGAAACCCTGTATTAAACAACAAGAAAATCTGAGCTCCCATATAGCTACAATAAACGTCATAACCTGTAAATTGATGAAAATGTAATGCGATGCACATACTGAGCATGATTTTCATAAAATGTTAAGTGCAAGGGTCTGATCATATATAAAGCCACAATACCAATTCTGATGACACAGTGTTTAATTAAATATATTATATATATTAATTAATTTAGGGTCTGATCTAATTGGCGCCCTTTGTTTAGTCACGAGGCATTAAACGTCGGCGATAATCGCGCGCGATATTCGTCCCGGTGTGAACAAGCCTTAATTATTTAAAAAAACAAAAAAAAACAAAAAAAAATGTTTCCCCCTTTCTATCTTTTTTTGTTGTTGCTATATTTCAGTGCTTAGTGGTGTGCCGTGGGATTTTTTACTTATTAAAACTGTGCCGCGGCAGAAAAAAAGATTGGGAAACACTGATGACGAAATAGAATGACTGAAATATTAGTTGTCAGACGTTACTTAATAACTTTCCTTTCTGACTCGCTTAAACCCACAAAATTCAGAACTGAATGAGTGGTCGCTCTGACATGCAGACTGAACTTACCTTCCGCGGCACAGTCATAGATATGGGCTCAACCTTCCTCTCGTGCAGTTTGTAGAACCTGATGGAATAAAATGAAGAATAATGGAGATAAATGCAAGCACCTGAGAGATGCGATTTAAGAATCAGTGCAGATGTGAACTAATCAGATCTTCTTTCTCCACAATAAAAATGAAAGCGAAAGATTTTTAGCGAATAACACTTACTTCAGTTTGTTTCTCACACAAAGCTACTGTACAGCTTCAAAACATTTGGAATTATATTGCATGAGTGGTATAAACTACTTTTATGGTTCTTTTTGTCATTTTTGAAGCTTGAAAGCATCTTGTTAGTATATGCCTATGTTGTATGGAAGAGAATATCCGCATAAAGTGTGGGGTCTTGTAAGATTTTTTCTCTGTTAGGAAAGAAATTGATACTTTTATTCAGCAAGCATGCATTCATTTATGAAAAAGTAACAATAAAGACATTTAAAATGTTATTTCTATTTTTATTTAAAATATATATAATGAATATTATATTAAATTATGAATAATCAATTATTCTTTAGCACCAAATCAGCAAATATTAGAATGCTTTTTGAAGGATCATGTGACACTAAAGACTGGAGTAATGGCTGCTGAAAATTATTTATAATTTAAAGTTTAATATATTTTAAAATAAAAAACTGTTATTTTAAATTGTAATAATATGTCAGAGAATTAATGTTTTACAGTATCTTTGATTAATAAAAATGCAGTCTTGGTGAGCCTTTTTCAAAAACATAAAAAATGTAATTAAATATTGTATTTAAAAACACACACAAAAAAATCAACTTTTAAAGTAGTAATATACTATATGTATGTTGTAAAGTGAATATTCTTCAGTTTGTTTTTTTTGTTTTTGGTGTGTTCCATGGAAGAAAGAATGGAATCACATGCAGGTGAGAAAATATTTTCATTTTCCTTTTTTGTGAACCATTCTTTAACTTCCCATTTGCTCAGTTTTATATTTCTTAGTCAAGCACTCCGGCCAAATAACCTGTCAAACAGAACAAACAACTTTTGCACTAAGCAAAAGACTGAAAATGGAGTTGCCACTCACATGTTTTCAGGGCATTCATTAAGGCAAATTAAATGCAATCAAATCCACACCAAAATGGGATTAAATGGAAAGAATCACAAAATCAAGCAATGACAAATATGATTACACTGTCTTAAAGTAACACACTAGTTCAGTTCACACCTTGCTATTTCACACTTGTTGACATCTACTCCTCGTTTGCTTAGGAAACCAGCACCTCTCTGCGGCTCCTTACTGCTGTACAGACTCAGGAAATGAATATACGGTGACTCATCTGTCACCTCAAAGTAACGAATAGTACAATCCCCCTGTGAGAGAGAGACAGTTGTGTTAGAGCTCATTGACAACATTGAATTTAATCAATTATCGGTTATACTTTTATTACACATGCCTATGAGAAACAAGTACCCTGGTATATACAGTGGATTTTAGCAAATGGCTGCAATATAACAAAGAGTGAAAAATTTAAGGGGGTCTGAATACTTTCTGTACCCACTGTATCAAAGTACCACGGTATTCAAATCTAATACCATCACTGTGCCATTTACCACCACTTCATTCTTGCATATTCAAAATCTCATACAAAAAAGATAAAAATTTGGGGTCAGTAAGACTTTTTTTTTTTTTAAAGAAATTAATAATTTTATTCATTAAGGATGCATTAAATTTGATCAAAAGTGAGTAAATCACAAGTCAATTTCAAATAAATGCTGTTCTTTTGTTATTAATAAAAGAATCCTGGAAAAATGTATCACAGTTTCCACAAAAATATTATGCAGCACAACTGTTTTCAATATTTAGAATAATAAGAAATGCTGAATGATCATGTGACACTGAAGACTGGAATAATGGTTGCTAAAAATTCAGCTTCAACATTATAGTAATAAATTATATTTTAAAGGGTTAGTTCACCCAATTTATGAAAAATTAGCCCATAAATTACTCACCCTCAAGTCATCCTAGGCGTACACCATCTGCTGTCAGAGAGTGAAAGTGCACTTTCATCCAGCGTGTCTCTCACATGTTCCGGCATGTGCTTCTCGTCCGCGCTTGTTTACATCAGAGTGCACACGCGTCTTTCACGCAGCATACAGCTGTGTCGTGCATTTTGACCAGTTGATGGGAAAAGTATTCTTAAAATGCATTCAAAATTCGGAATAATTTGTAATATATAATTATTCACGGTATTTAGAAGTGCCCATGATAACAATATTGTGCATATTCATTACCGTGATATATCGCATTACCGAATACCGGCACAAGTCTAGAAGAAAGTCGTATACACCTAGGATGACTTGAGGGTGAGTAATTTATGGGCTAATTTTCATTTTTGGGTGAACTAAAATATATTACAATAGAAAAGTTACTTCACATTGTAATAATATTTCACAACAATACAGTTTTACTGTATTTTGATCAAATAAACGAAGCCTCAGTGAGTTTTTAACAAAAATCTTACTGACTCCAAACTTTTAAACGGTAGTGCACTGTAAAAAATGACCGTGAATTTAACGGTAAAAGACTGTAAAAATGCTACAGTAAAAACCTGTTAAATGGTTAACGGTAAATTCCCCTACTATATACGGTGAAAAACTGTATTGGACATTACATGTATTGGACATTAATTTTACGGTAGTATACCGTTTTTGGAAGTGAAAAAGACCGTATAATTTACAGTGAATAACCGTAAATTGACATTCCCAGAATTCCCTGCGTTACATTTCAAATTTGATGTTTTTTTTGTTGAAATAACTGTTTCTTCTTAGTTTTTCTTATCAGTTTTGTGTATTAGGGTTGTGTGTTACACCTAATGTTGTTAAATGAATGTTTATTGCATTATTTCAGTTTCATGTGTGTTACCATGATGGTGTTTAGTGTCTGTGTGAATGACACTGTGCACCTTCTATATATGTTATTATTTAAAAGCTGCTTGTGATGGGCTTTGGTTCATCATGTGACTTTCTCATCACCACCTGCATTTGGTGGTTATCAGTGTATTACAAAGGTGCAAAACAGATTTCAGTACTTCAATAGGTTGGTATATTAACATTATATCAGTTAATGAAAATACGGTATTCACCTGTAAATTTAAGGTAAAACCGTAAAACCTAAAACGTTGCTACTGTATTTTTTACGGTAAAATTCCGGCAACCACAGCTACCGTTTGTTTACCGTAAATTTTATGGATTTTTTTTTACAGTGTGTATTTTTGTTTACTGTATGTGAATAAGGAAACCTACGCAGGCAGTGAGTATGTTTACATGTACAACAATACTCCGATTTTAATACGATTAAGACAATACTCTGATTAAGAATCTACCATGTAAACAGAGAATTTTGATTACCTTAATCCGTCTAAAGTCATATTCGAAGTAAACAGAAATCGAATTAAGACATGTGGAGTATTCCTATTTTAGTCGCATTACTGAAGTGCAGTATAGACATGTAAACACCTTAATCACATTATTACCATCGTGTAGGACGTTTCGTTGCATTTTGCGACAGGATACACACATGGCAGTGCTCAACCGTTTGACGGCAAACAAAAAAACGGCTTCAACAACGCCGTCGTCTGTTTGCATGTATAGCATGACAAATAATTAACTGCACTTGAAGCTTTCATAAAATTAAAAATGAAACACCCAAAACTGTACATGGCATCATCACGAAGACGAACTATATGTTTATACGTGAAATTCCGGAG